TTGTAACGAGTAATAATATTACCCAAATTTTATTAGTAATGCGTTATATTACTGCGTTAACAGCAAAAAATAATATACTACTGTAATATTATTACTTTTGTAATGCGTTACTCCCAACACTGCTCACAACCTGTCGGCACAATGTTCCCCTCCGGGCACAGCTAGGGTAAGGGCAGGGTTTATTTCTCACTTTTGGTATGAATCGCTCTCCTTCACTGCTTTTATTTGCTCTCATGCTCTCAATGAGTCTTTAAAACTAGTTTAGGCTTTAAAAATGTAACACAAACAGAAGACAATTGTCTGCATATGTATATGTACCTGTTGAAAAAATTATCTGTACAGTGTGGGTGGTTTAATTTATAAACTAGTCAACATTTGAAGTGGATCAAAACCTTTCATCAAAGTTGTCCTAAAACCTAAAACCAAAATGCGTTCTTGTCTTAGGACAACTTTGATGAACTTCTTTGATTCTCTTCAAATGTTGACTACTGTATTATAATAGAATCAATATTAATAATGTTAATTATTTATTTTTATATACTCTGTTCAAATGTTTTGGTCAGTATCAAATTGTATTTTTTATGTTTTTAATGGCTATATTTATTTGATCAAAAACTACAGTAAAAAACTGTAATATTGTAAACTTGAACTATTATTAACCATTATTATTAAACTGTAAACTTGAAATATTATTATACTTACACTAATATATATATATATATATATAACAATTGTATTTTTTTTCCTGTGATACATTTTCAAAAGCAATTATTCCAGTAATTTATTAAGCTCCAAATCATTATTCAAATTCTTAATATTTAACAGTTGTGTTGCTGGATAATTTTGTGGAGACTGTGATACATTTTTCAAAAATAAAAAATATGTATGATCTAGAATATAAATTGTATTAAATATATCAGATAAATAATAAATAAAAGCAGATGATTAAGCTTCAAACCACACTGTGCACATTTACAATCATACATTTCTCACTTTAATTATGTTCGCTTCACAGGCATGCCATTGCATTATAATTGTAGATATATTCATTAGAAATATTGCTTTGTTTTATGTTTTAAAAATTAGCTTTTTTTTGGCCTATTGTTCGTTGGAATTTGTTATCCTCAAGTCATTATTTGTGCCCTTCCGAGTAAGACATTCTGCTTCGGGTACAGAACAAGCACCAGCAGTGAGCTGGCGAGCTCTCTGACTCCACTTTATCAAGCTGTGATGAATTAATCACTAGCAATACAGATAGAGCCTTATAAGCTGGTTGAGGGCCTCTGGCCTTTCAAGAGAGGCTATTCTAGAGCCCGGTGCCTTCAATCTATTGTGTTTGTGTTCTTTCTTAAACTGCGAATGTGTCTCCGGTTAGAGTAGCGTTATCGCCACCATCCAAGCCCCACACACTTCGTAATAGCATTAGATGCTTTAAGGCTTGGAGGAGAGAGGCTCATGACAGGTGAATTCAACCTGGTACAGGTCAAGGAGGCATGAGATGAATCACTTGAATTAGCAAGCGGCATATGAGTACTGCCTCTGTCGGAGCATGCTTGTGGCATGCATTAATGAGGATGAATGCAAATCTGAGCATATGAATAATTTTAGCAGTTTAACTTGGACATATTTTTTATGTCCACGCAGGAACGTCGGTGTTCCAGATCACTGCCACAGACGCCGACGATCCCACCTACGGAAACAGTGCCAAGATCGTCTACAGCATTCTCCAAGGGCAGCCTTTCTTCACCGTCGACCCCAAAACTGGTACGCAAAGACCTCGCTTTTTACAAATAACCAGTTTTATGGACATTTTGAGATGCCTTAGACTGTAGAAGTCTGTACTTGAATATTTTCTGATTGTTCCTGTGAGCTTGTGCGAAGTCACCACCGGGTGAGTCATTCCACAATAATAGGCTGTAGGAAACACAGATACGTTTTCTCTGTAAAACAGCTTTCAGGCGCACAAAGGAACTCCCGATTTATTGCGCTACCCTATGTGGAGAATAATTGATGCGTTCTCACATTGTTGAGGGCCTTTCATACATGTTGTTTCCACCGAGACTGAGGGGAAAAACCCCTCCCGACCAGTACCAAAATGTGTCTTTTGTCGCAGGGACTTCAGTTAAGCATTAAAAGAATATGTATGCTCTTTCGAACGGAACTCAGACTCAGGCATCTACATTGAAATTCCATTGAATCATGCAGGAAATGTGGGAAATATCATTCTCAATTGTATCTCAGAAATAAATCAATAAACCTACATTGAGGGCGATGAATATGGATGGTTTTCTTTGGAGACTTACATGGTACACTCAATTACTCGCACAAAGCCCGGGTGGATAAACAAATCATTTTCATAATATTATCAACACATGGTTGAAACGTTGAGAGCATGGCACCGTACGACCCGGGCTACACTGTTCTGTGGAGGCTTGAAAACACCCGAACCGTGGCCTACTTGTTGTGATGTACTGCTCGCCTACAGTGTATATCCTAATTTAACGTATTCTTTCCTCCCTCGTTTTTTCATTCTGTGCTTAGTAGCCATTTGGTTCAATTTCCACAGTGGTGGTGTTTGTTTATGTCAAGTTGAATGTGCCTGGAGGGTGTTTGTCCCAGTTTGAAAGCGCCAACCTGCAGAGTGTTTATCCCATGATAGAGCCTATTTGGTGCAGGATGAATTTGCTTGGCTTGTATGCGTTTGAGTGTGCCAGGGTGGTGTGTGTAGATGCACGAACGTCTACATCAGCAGTGTACGAGGTAAAATGGTGAGTAGCATTCGTTCCAGCTGTTAGTGTGTGCGTGGTTTTTTTGGCAAACGCCCTGTCAGCAACAGCATGAGCTGCTGACCCAAGAGACTCAGCTTAGTACCAATACGTACTTCCATCCCTCAGATATCCGCCACGAAACTGCGCCAATTTACACAGAATTGCTTCATGGGTAGTCCACTGTGCATTTATTTATTATGTGTAATTGCTCGTTCAGTCTCCCTCCCGCTGGGACCTGTGGGATTGTTGCTGTCCTCCACTGAAGCAGCAAATCTCTGATGGCGGTTTGTCTTTTACTGGTGTCTTTGGCGCTAAAACTATGAGATTGGATGGACTGTAATCCCTCCGTGGTCACTCTTTCAACTCTTTTCTCATCTCTAATTCCCTGTTTGTGGCTATCATGAAGGTTTTGATGGGATTAAGAGGCCATATGATAATGTTCACATCAGCGGTTATTATCATAGGGCGCCGGTTTAACATTGCAATCTTGCATATCAGTGTTGCTTGCTCATTTTGGCAGGAAGTGCCTATACCCTTAGCACTGAGAGTAGTGTGTGTGTGTGTTTGAATCACTCTCAAATAATCCAATACTCCAGGTCTAGAGAGCCTCTTTTGCTCTTGGAGAGAGATAAAGCACTGACGGAGGCTTGTCTCTTCTGCTCTGAGCATCACAGCTATAAAACTTTTCACATTTTGAGTTTATCCGTAGATATACAGTAGGTGGTATTGGGAATTCTACTCTTGAAAGTGTAGTTTGCCAAGCTACAAGCTGAAAATTTAAAGGGATAGTTCACCCAAAAAATGTAAATTATGTCATTGATTACTCACCTTCATGCCGTTTCAAACCTGTAAGACCTTTGTTCATCTTTGGAAATTAAGATATTTTTGATGAAATCTGGACTTTCTGACCCTGCATAGACAGCAACGCAACTGACACATTCAAGGCCCAGAAAGGTAGTAAGGACATCGGTAAAATCATCAGTGGTTCAACCGTAATGTTTTGAAGCTACGAGAATACTTTTTGTGCAAAAAAGAAAGAAAAATAACAACTTTATTCAACAATTTCTTCTCTTCCGTGTCAGTCTTCGATGCACATTCATACCATGACACATCCGTGTTGTCTTAAAAGTTTGAAACGACATGAGGGTGAGTAATTAACGACAGAAATTTCATTTTTGCGTGAACTATCCCTTTAATGTCATTTAATGAAAGACGTATTTTCTGGTACAAAAAAAAATTTGATTTTTGAATGAACAATGTCAATAAGTGTCATAGTTTAAAAAAAACTATCCTAATTTATATAACAATATTATAATTATAAATATTGGAAAATGTGATATTTGTATAATTTACACAATTAATATTAATAGTATAATATTTAATGTTTTACTAAAACATTTTATTTATTTTGAATAGGTTACATTATATTTATACCTTATATAAATCTGCTTCAACCATTTGCTCAGGAAATAGGGAATAAGACGAGGATGAAGGAAAGGCTGGAAAGCAGAACAGATTGAGTCTGCCATGTGAACTTGCACATGAGATCCCATGGTAATGTTTACTATGAAATGAGTACCAGCTGACAAGATACTGTACAACCAGGCCCCAGTGCACCAACATGGGCAACAAAGGGCTGTTTACTTTATATGAGACCGAAAGGACATTCTAGTAGAGCATGCTTGATAATTATACAAGTTCCCTTAATTGTGAAGCCTTTATGTGCAATACAACATTGAGCTACTGAAAAAATGTAGTCAAGTTGCTACTATTAGTTATTTATTCCCTGTGATAAGGTTCAAGTGGGTGGAAGGAAGAAGACAGGGTCGGCGTACTGGGACGCAAGCTTTATTTCAAGTCTCTGGGTGCACACAACAGAAAACGGCGCTCACTGCGCTTTCAATCTCTCAGTCTAATAACTCATAACACAACTCGACATAGGCTTCGTGCTTCCATAACCCGTCTCCCCGGGTGGCTCGCGTTCCCAGTCAGTCTCCTCTCTCCATACATGCTCCAGGTGGCCCCCTTTTATCCGGTCTCTCCACACCAATTACTGAAACGAGACACAGGTGTTTATCATTTGCGCTTGAGCTACTTACGCACCGCTCGTCTCCTGCCTCTCTCTCCCGATGCAGATCTCGCTGAACCACGCCCCCCTCGCCACATACCCCCACCGCCCGACTCAGGCCGGGGAGAGTTCGTAAAGTTCGCGGAGAGTCCGTGACTTAAACGCCGTGCCTTGATCGGCGAGAATCTCTTTCGGGATTCCCACCCGGGAGATTAGATGAAACAGGGCCTCCGCTACACTTTTCGCGGAAATGCTGCGGAGGGCCACTGCCTCTGGGTATCGCGTTGCATAATCCACTAGGACTAATGCAAAGCGATGCCCCCGTGCAGATCGTTCTAATGGCCCGATGAGGTCCATGCCAATTCCTTTAAGAAGAATCGCTTTAAGTATTCCCCAATTGTAAGTCGCTTTGGATAAAAGCGTCCGCAAAATGACTAAATGTAAATGTAGTTATTTTCTGCCCTACATTTTTTTATTTTTTTTATTTTTTGTTAATTCGATTGGAGCATCAGCAAAAGAATACCAGCATCAATACTATTATAGTTACTGGAGCACTTTTACATTTATTTTATATTTTGTTAATAATTTATTTCCAGTGCCATTTTTTAGTATTCAAATTTATTTATGTATTTATTTTCAGGGTAAAATTATTAGAGGTTGTTCTTTTTATTCTAGTCTAATCTGATTTGTAGAATACGATATTTGTAGTATAATGTGGTTTAATATATCATAGTGGAATATGCTTGATCTGTTTTTCTTCCTACAATTACAATTACCCAAGCTACTGTTTCCACCCATCCACGTCTATGTAAAGTACAATAACTTGCATCATTTTGTCTAATCCTCTTAGCTGAGAATTACCTCTACTGCACCTTTGTGTAGTAGTTAGTTCGCCCCATTTACCGGTGGGTGATGCTTAGCCTGCGTGATGTTTTGCACTTTCACTATAAGGTTGACTGTCTGTTGTTCCATAAGAAATCAAACTCTCAGTACAAAGAACAGGGCTTACCAAGTTCTGCATCAGTGTCTGGTCCTGTTTGCTTTATTTACTTTCTGTCTCTGCTTTGTGGCTACTAGCTGAATACTAAGAGCCTGTTTAACATGAACATTTTGCTTTTTTCGTTGTGTTGTCTGCTGAAATCCCCTGTCCTGGCAGGTGGTGTCTGCTCTCAATAGGCTGGGTGCAATCTCTATGACATTCTCTGGGGCTGAACACTGGTGTATGTTTATTTGTTCTGGCGGATTGAGGTATCTGTTTGCATATTTTTTCTCACTCCCACTGGTCGTGTCCATTTAAAAAGAGAACATTGCATGTTCAAATATTTAAACTGTCCATCTCACACTTAACGCATAACATGAAATTGAAATTCTCTTCTAGTCATTCCCTCACTGGTCCTCTGTGCTTCTTGCCAGCATTTTGGACTTCTTGTAGGTGTTGTGTGTGTATTTATATTAAGACATTCAGACAGAAATATTTATACTGCCCATATATTTTATAGCATTTTTTTTCTAGTTATATGTCAAAAACATGAAACGTGTATAGTTACAGAGATGCTAGACATTTACTGTTTTCTACTCATCTTCCTTCCTTCCTATATAATATTACATTTCTGTATACATTTTTAGGTCTTCTTAGGTTTTCACCAGACAAAAAAAAAAACAATATATGAAACGAACCATAGTTATATATCAGCAGATCATCAGGTTACATCATTTTAAAACATCAATAAAAGAATGGGATATGTCCCACGTTAATAGCTTGGCTTGAAAATGCACACTTTTCTTTGATTTCTGGATGATGGATAACCTTGAGTGTGAAAACATCAAGGCATTTCATATATTTTTTGATGAAACTGTCAAGAAGTATTCTATATATATTCACTAACAAGTAAATAAAATGTGTCTAGTGCTATGTACTGACAGAGCTTATGCTTTTATGAAATTATGCTATTGATTTCTAGTGTTTTTAAACAACCCATGTTGGTGCACTGGGGCCTTGGTGTATCATGTCAGTTGGTGCTCATTTCTTAGAAACATTACCATGGGATCTCATGGCGTAAAGGGGCACAAATACAAGTTCACATGGCAAATTTTAAAACATCAATAAAGGAATGGGATATGTCCCACGTTAATAGCTTGGCTTGAAAATGCACACTTTACTTTGATTTCTGGACGATGGATAACCTTGAGTGTGAAAACATCAAGGCATTTCATATATTTTTTGATGAAACTGTCAAGAAGTATTCTATATACAGTGGGTACGGAAAGTATTCAGACCCCCTTAAATTTTTCACTCTTTGTTAAAAATGTGTCTAGTGCTATGTACTGACAGAGCTTATGCTTTTATGAAATTATGCTATTGATTTCTAGTGTTTTTAAACAACCCATGTTGGTGCACTGGGGCCTTGGTGTATCATGTCAGTTGGTGCTCATTTCTTAGAAACATTACCATGGGATCTCATGGCGTAAAGGGGCACAAATACAAGTTCACATGGCAAACGCAAGCTGTTATGCTTTCCAGCCTTTCCTTTATCCCTGTCTTATCCTCTATCTCCTGAGGGAACGGTTGGAGCAGATGGCAGCCTTTGCTTTAGAGCTGTGGAGTATGCAGGAGATGATCACCAGCATGCTTTGTGCAAGAGTGTGTGTGCACATCTGGAAAGGAAGGTTCATGCTAAGGGCTTAAACCGCATAGGAACAGTACATAGAAGTGAGAGGTCAGCACTCACCTGCTGGTGTGTTGTCAAGCTCGAAAAGGACCTGTACCAGGTCAGAACAGGGGCAAAGCAGAGGATAGCCACTCGCTGTGAGCTCACCGCCTCAATAACTAGGGGTCAAAGATCTGCAGTGTACACATGATATTCTGGACATGCACCTGTCCTGTGAAGGGTGGCTCTTATTGCTGGAAATGCCATCAAATGGCTAGCGGTTTGATTTCAAGCGATGGTTCTCCTAAAAATGCATTATTTAGTCACAATCTTGTCTTTTGAAAACCCATTTAACTTTCTATCTTCTATGGCAAACAAAAGGAGGTGTTAGGCTGAATTTCCAAGCTTTTCTTTTGCATACAGTGAAACTGAATGCTGACCATGGCTATCAAGCAAGATTTTCTATGAATAATGACTTCATATGAGTCTGGACCTCACATAGAGATATACTGTAATATGGCTTCATAAGACTTCAAATATAGAGCACGAGTTCTGTGGACTGCTTTTATTTTGCTTTTATGGTCCCTTTTCATTTGTAGGAGCTTCACAGCTCTAGTCCTTCATTTTCCATGGACAAAAGTAAATGAAGAATTTGCTTTATGGGAATTGTACAGTAATTTTCAAGAGATGTTCAACCATTTTATGGGAATTTCCATAGGAAATGTTGACAAAAATAAATGTTTATTTCTTTAAAGCCAGCTTATAGATGAATACACAGAAGCGTTTTGAATATGTGGTACATGCAATACCATTTGCGGTAGTTATAACTTTGGTCACTTTATTTTAAGGTCCGATTCTCGCTATTAACAAACCGTTAACTATGTCTTTTGCCTCAATAAACTCTGAGCTGAGCAAAAATATGAGCTTCAAAAGTGCTAATAAACAGCCAATATGTTAATAATAGGCATGCTAATAAGCAACTAGTGAGAATTGGTCCCTATACTAAGTGTTACCATGACTTTTTTTAATTATGTTTTTAAGTCTTTTATTCTCACCAAGGCTAACTTTTGTAACATTATAAATGTCCTTACTGTCGCTTTTGATAAATTATGACAATATTTATGTTTATCAGGCTTTTGCAGTTCCACAACCTTTTGTTTTCACTTCATTTGGAGGGTTCAATACCTCCCTAATCTTTGTCTGCTATGGAAATGTGGGCTGTTTTAATATTTGTACTTGAACACCATCATTTGCAGAAAATGGTAATACACTTTTGAACGTCCAATAATGGAATATGGGTTATGTAGGTCAGCGATAACTATATTAATTATTTCTGCCCTCTGGATCACAGGTGTCATCAGGACAGCTTTGCCGAACATGGACAGAGAAACTAGAGAGATGTACTCCGTGATCATCCAAGCCAAAGACATGGCCGGCTCTGTCGGGGGTCTGTCCGGATCCACGACAGTCAACATCTCACTGGCTGACATCAACGACAATCCACCACGATTCCCTCAAAGTATGAGTCCCCGCTTCTCTCGGTCTCTTTCACCATGGAAAAAAGTCTGGATTTTAGGCACGCCCCTTCTACAGAAACCATCTAATCCTTAAATCCCTTTGAATGTACTGTGAATTTATCCCAAATGGCTGAATTCGTTTAAGCTTTATTTTGTGAAAATAAACAACTTTTATTGAGCTTGCGCAGGTTTAATCTAAATAGACCCTGCAAATTAGCTGAGCGCAAGCAACACTTTTTAATATTCGCATCAAAAGATTTCGAATGTTTAATAAAATCGCATCTGTTCTGTTTGTGTTTATCCTCCACTTCAGAGAACTATCAGCTTTACGTGCCAGAATCTGCTCAGGTAGGGAAAGCAGTTGGGAAAATCAAAGCGAACGATGAAGACCTTGGCGTCAACGCTGAGATGACATACAGAATTACCAATGAAGAAGGAGCTGCCATGTTTTCCATCTCTACAGACAGTGACAAGAGAGAAGGAGTCATCTCCCTCAGAAAGGTCTGAACTAGACGTTCCCACAAAACCAATGGGTTCAACAGCCACGTAAACTAATGTCTGCTCATTCAGCCATGCCCTGTCTTTTCCCAGGCTAAAATGTCTTTTCTGCTTCTCCCTTGATCTTTTTACTGATGTCCTTTCTAGCCTCTGGACTACGAGAAGAAGAAGGCTTACTCTTTGAACATAGAAGGTGTCAACACCCATCTGGATCCTCGTTTTTCTTACCTGGGTTCTTTCAAAGACACCACCACGCTCAAGCTTATCATTGGGGATGTTGATGAAGCTCCGGTGTTTACTATGGACTACTATATCATGGATGTGTATGAAAATGCTCCGGCTGGGACAGAGGTTAGCATGGTAACTGCTCAAGACCCGGACAGCACAAGAAGCAAAGTCAGGCGAGTTTCCAAAGATAATTATACTGGTATATGTGGTTTTGAGGTATATTTTACAGTGTCTATATATCAGTGCAAATGTCTCTGCTAGTAGTCCACCAGGGTTGTGACCCATTCAGAATTGAACTGAGAATGTCTTTTAAATTCTAATTCAATTCCTGAATTTGACTGGCAGTAGCAAAGAGGATGCAGAATTGCAATTCAAATTGTTTAAGCAAGTACATATTCTCCCATAGCAAACTATGGGAGAACCCCCCCCCCAAACAAGAGAATGCTGTCTTGAAAAATCCTTATCTGAAAGTTCTGAATAAAAAGTTTCAAAAGCCTTGAAGTTTGAAGGTTTATATCATACCTCTAAGAGATCTAAGAGTTTTATTCTGCAGCTACTTAAACATCATACATATTTTAAATTGTTTAGGTTAAGCATCTTAACAAAATGTCTTGAAGTAAGGTCTAAACAGAAATTAATCGTAAGTTGTAGGTGACAGGAGATTAATTACTGAATAATCAAATGTATGAAATATATTCATAAGGCTTCAGAGTCTGCTTTTCTAATCATTTGTTAACAGGAAATCATGTATTTCAGCATTCAGTTTTAATGTCTATAAATGCTAAAAAAAAATGCTGTAAAGTTGCTTTGCAATGATTTGTATCGTGAAAAGTGCTATACAAATAAACTTGAATTGAATTGAATTGAATATTAAATGTGCTTCTGGAATATCTGTCATCATATTTTGAATATTATCTTTGAGTAGAACTTGTCTACATTGACATTTTAGGTATTCCATCGACCAAAATGCAGAAGGTGATGCACTTTTCACCATCGATGTTGACAGTGGACTAATTACAACCACCAAGAGTCTAGACCGAGAGGAGTTAGCCTGGCACAACATCACAGTGATGGCTTCAGAGATTGGTATGTACGACTCTGAGGCCTGAATTCTGTCTGTATTCATTGATATACAGTGGGTACGGAAAGTATTCAGACCCCCTTAAATTAAAAAAAACAGTGTCAGTGAAAGGCTTCAGATGTAATGTGATGTGTGCAGAAAAATCAACATAATTATCACTTGTGAGTTGATGTCCACGGCAGTAATTTGATCAGATTAGTATTAAAGTGTAAAAATATGATTTAACTGTGCATATTTAGGATATATACAAATAGCTGTGAAATTAGCAAGACAAATGGACCAGATATTTTTTTTATTAAAATGTCACTTCCATATGATACATTCACCTATGATGTATGTATGTAGCCTACTGTTGGACATTACTATTGGACAAATAAACTAGTGAGAGTATTAAATATTCACACAGTTAAAGAAGTGCTCAAAAGTTATCATTTGAATTGTGAATAAAGGATTTAAGGATATCTCTTTCTTGTACATAAAACACGGTATTCAACAGCAAATATTGCTGATTCACACTTTATGCCAATGTGTCCTGATATGGCATGATTTCAATCATGTGAAATCCCTCATACATTGATCATTCATTGTTTTTTGCCAGTTATTTAAATAGAAAACATCCATGATTGAATATTTGCCATATTTTTTCTTTCCAGACAATCCAAATCTGGTGAGCTATGTACCCGTCACAGTCCAGGTCTTGGATGTCAATGACAATGCCCCCTATATTGTCACAGACAGCGCTCTGGTTGTGTGTGAAGACTCCAAGGCAGGCCAGGTTAGTTATCTCCTCTCAGTCTTTTTCGACCTGCCAGCTCCAATCTGAACCCCTGAAACCATTTTTCCTATCTGCACTCCTCCTTTTCTCCTACCCTATTTCTGCACCATTTTTGTTTTCTCAAACCATCTTTTTTTTTTTCATGGTTTAATTCCATCTTTCTTTTCACACACACACTCCCACGTACACTAACGCCAAGTGCACATGCATAAATGAGAAACATATACGCTGCCTTTATGATATGTCTGACACCATCAAGGATGGATTTATCTGTGGCTCGACAGACTTTGGAGGCTCTTAAACCTATAAATAATTCAGCATGTACCAATGTATTCATCGGCAGATAGCAGTCCGCATCAAGCGCACTAGGAATGGCTCACAGGAAATGTTAATCGTTGCACATTGAAATCTAGGTTCATGTGCAGCAATGCACAGCAGTGCTGCGGCATAGCCTTTATAGCTTTACCCTTGAATGAGATTATGATTTAAGCAGTTAGACACACACAATTCACACACAGTGGGCGACAATGCATTTTTAAATTAAATATCAAGGGTCCTCTTTGAACATTTGTGTCCGCTGTGCTGGTGGTTAACCATAAAGGGTACTTAAAGGGATGGGTCACAATTCCGTCATCATTTACTCACCCCAATGTTGTTCCAAACCAATAAAAGTTTGGTTATTCTTCGAAACACAAGTGATATTTGTAATGAAACTTGAGAGGTTTTTGTCCCTCCATTGAAAGTCCAGGAAACCAAAACTTAGAAGATCCAAATAAAGGTGTCATAAAATGAACCCATAAGAATCATCCGGTTTAATCCAAGTTTTGTGAAGAGATACGATTTGAATCATGATTTATATTACACTATGTATTATGAACAGATTTAATGTAGACAGTTATTCACATATAAACGTTCATGATGGTTTACCATATGTGATGCACTATATGGTTGTGTGTTGATCATTGCTTAGATGTGCATAAAAGCCTAAATTGATTAATCATATAAAGCGATTGTACTGTATCTCTTCACACGACATGGACTAAACGGCTTTATATGGATTCATTTTACAAAGTATTAATGACCTTTTTGGATCTTTTAAGTTTTGGTTATCTTGACTTTCAATGGAGGGATAAAAGGGATAAACACCTCTTAGATATTTTTAAAATATCTTAACATGTGTTTCGAAGATTAACCAAAGTGTTATGGGTTTGGAACAACATGAGGAGGAATAAATGATAGCAGAATTTTCATCTGTTTAAATAAAGGTATGGTAAATTATTCAGCCTGAATGAAAGTGTGTGATTAATGTACATAGTTGTGTTTTCATTTTGGACCTCTGCTTAATTAATTAAAGGCTGCTTTTAAAGCACCACAGAGTTTTTTTTTTTATTATTATTTTCGGGCTTCGTTCAAGCCCAGTAAATTATTTACTGTATAAGGCAGAGGTCCATTCATAAGCGAAGAAATTGTCTCTCATTTATTATGACTTCTGGTCTGCTGGGCTCAAACCGGTCCATCTAACATCTAAATAAAATCCTCTTCCCAATTACTTTGTAAGATAATCGGGGATTGCTGTCATGCTGTGGCCCTTGATTAAGTGTTTCCACAGAGATAAGGCAAAACCACATTTCTTGTACTGGCATCAACTCACAGGAAGCTCTTTTCTTTTGATCTGCTCTGCACACATTCACAACAGTACGCTGCATGAAACAATGCAATGTAATTTGGAAGAAATCTGTTATGCAGTGGCACAGGCCATTTTCAAACCTGGCTCTATTACTTGGTCCAGAGTTCTGTTCTGCTCCCTTCTCCATGTATTGGTATGTCTTATTGTACTTTTGGGTGGAAAGTGCATTATGTTTGCACCCTCGACATTACAAAAGGATTTGTGATTGTCTTAAAAGCTTCGATAAGAATGTGATGAAAACAAACAAATCAGTATGTTTTGCATTATATGCCATGACTTTACAGCAAAAGTGTGTTGAATTTATAGAATTTATGTTTAGGGACGGTGGGATTGTTTTAAAAATGTTTTTGAACCTGTCTTGAAAGTGTCTTATGGTCACCAAGGCTGCATTTACCTGATCAAAAAATACAGTAAAACAGTAATGTTGTAAAATAAATAAATAAATAAACTTTATTATATATATATAATTAGTTTTTTTTTTTTTTGCTCTGGTGTGAAAGTGCCCCAGAGAGAGAAACCCTTGGCCCAACATGGATGGTACAGCGCAGACAGGTGAAGAGCTTCAATAATTGGTCCAGACTCTGCATGAGGAGATTCCCACTTGCAGCTGATGTGCTAGCAGGAGCCAATTAGGTTAACAAGCTGACAAAACATCATGAGTCTGAGCAATGCTTCAAACTAGCGATCTGTTCAATGACTGTGATCCAGACACCCAACTGGCCGAGGGGCTTAGGGTCAGCAGTCTGAAGTTAATGTCTTTCAAAAGTGGAGAGGAAGAAGAAGCCCAGGTGGTCCAATTACATTTCTGGGTTATAGGGAGTGACAAAACCCATCTCTCAGCGAAGCGAACGCGTCTGTTTTAGATATTTTTAATGCCATTTTTCATTCAACCTTAATTCTGGAGAAAGAAAGCACTAAGCATCAGCTTGTTTTCTCTTGTTCTGGGTGTAGGTCATTCAGACCATCAGGGCCACAGACAAGGACAACTTCGCCAATGGTCGGTTTACTTTCGCTCTGCCAGAAGACCTTCCAGCGAATCCAAACTTCACTCTGAAGGACAATGCAGGTAAAAACAAACAAACACAATAACAAAACCACACTTCCGCAGGATTTGTTTTGGCTTGGTAAAACATCTAATTAGAAATAGTTTGACATGTTAAGCCTGTATTTTAGGAGTTAGTTACAAAAACTAATTCCATATTCAGTACTTAAGTTGTACACAGGCTCTCATGAAAGTCAAATATGATCTGACTGATCTAAAGGGGCTCTCCGATGGCATCTCAGTAATGGAATCTTTCTAATGTTTTCCAACTGATTTCCTGATGTTTGCTCAGGGCAAACCCTCAGCACCTCTCCACAAACATATTTAGTACCACATGTTGTCACACACATCACCCTCATTTCCAGCCTTCCCCTCCTCTTCTTGCTCTTTTTTTTTATATCGTTGCAAGGCCAACCGAGCTGTTTCCTCGGAAACCAGGTCTGTGTTTATGTTAGCTCAACGCTCCCTGGTGGAGACGGCTGGGCTGTAATGATTTCCTTCTAATGCCGGACCACTGCTTCGGTGAATCATGGCTGCAGGTGGACCAGTCGGAGTTTAACAGGGCAATCAGGGAGATAAGAGGCAGATGCTAAAAGCCCAGAGTTCAGAAGAGCCAGTGCTTCAGAGCTTTATTTGAGCTTGTATCCTAGCCAAGGTCCCCTCAGACTGCCTCATCCTTAAATAATATCCCAACGGATGGACCATTACGGACCGTTTTACTCATTGGAGGTTGGAGAGCTCTGTTGTGCTTGCTGTGATTGGGTGGGTGTGTAGGGCTGTCATCCTTGATCACGTAGATGTTTCTCTCCTGGTGCCGCAATCATTATGCCAGCGTCCACACGACCTGAGCGCTTGCCAGGTTGAGGCGGAAAAAATATGATGGACATTCCCTACGGAGGTGCACTTATTTCCCCCCTGGGAAATGGCAGTGAGTTCAATTGAATAATAATCATCTTGACGGTTATGTCCTTCGACGTAGTTCATATTCTAAATCTAGGAAAGTGTTTGCAATGAAGCTCTCCAATGAATAGGTGAGGGAATGCATGGTATGCCCCATCCGCAAAGATAGCCTACGTCAAATTTGATGCCTTGCCACGGTTTTGGCAAGAGTGTTTCTGTTTGTGTCATCTGAGATGTGGGGCGCATTACATCGAGAGTGTCCCTCCTGGGCCAATTCACCGCAATTCTCTCTCAGGCCATTTATCTCCCACCATTTAAACACTCACATTAAGTTATAACAGCTAGAGCGATCAGGACTCATGCCAGAACTGCAGTATTGGCAGTATTTGTTGTTGTTGTTGCTATTTCCTATTTATTTATTTATTTATATATTTGTATATTTATTGCATGACACATCTCACAGTGAAGATTACTTATCTACAGTACATGCATGGTTCGCTCTCATGTTATTTCACAGGGAAAGTGTTTACGAATCATTGCTACTTAAATCAAAGCGCAACTGTGAATTTCCCATCCATGTGTAATTACAGACCGCGTTTTCTGCGTTGTTTGTGAAGATTTGCTAATGATCATTCCACCCTCTGTCGTTTCATGTTCATGCTTTTTAATAGTGTTTGGACAGAGTAAATGGAGTCTACCTGCAGGCCATTTTATAAAACCCCCACAGCATGAAATCAAACACAAACGTGCTAAACCTAAGGGTCAATACATGAAGGGCTAATTTATGCGTAAATATTTCAGAGATGCTAATTTGGCTAGTGTTAACCTTAACCCTTAGTTAGGAAATTTTCCTTCCTGTAGTTTCTAATGCATGCACAATAGTTGCTGGTTCTGCATACATTAGACCCCTGGAGAGAAAGAGCTCTGCCTCTTTTGCACTGCTGTAGACTTGGGTATATGGACATTAGGGCCCAGAGACGAGTGAATAATATCAGATATTTCTAGCATTCACAGTTAAGGAATATAGTATACATTTATGTCTTTTCATTCATAAAATGAAAGTATATTATTTCCCTTTATAAATGAAAGCATCAGTTACAGTATTTGTCATTAGTTACTTTTCTTTCTCCCTAGCAGTTAAATAACTGTTTAGTCCTTCATTTTTGTATTCAGTCTGTATATAACTTTACTAACTATATAACTTAGTTATTTTTTAGTTTAAACTCGACATGCATGGTTTTTCAGTACCATATTGTAATAATGTTTATCAGCCAATATTAGAGGTGATTTTTTTTATTTATCCATATCAGTTGTATAGTATTGTATACTAATTATGCTCATGCATAATAATAATAATAATAATAATAATAATAATGCATGCTCATTTGCTCTATTTTTACATTTACATTACCTTTGTCATCTTCTAACACTAATATAAAGTTAATCTTTTAAAACACTAATATTTTATTTTAACACTGTTAAATATCTTTAACAGTCTTTAACAAATCTCAAAATGAATATTGGTCATTTAGTGATTATTTACTGATTTCCAGTTATAGCCTATTAATTAACTTGAGGTTGATCATAGACAGGAGGTGGGAAAACCGTTTATTTTTACACTGTATCAGATAAAAAAAAATATTCTTAATTTTTGTTGTTGCTGGCACCCATACCAAAATCCAGAATATTGTTTGGATACTTTTATGCCGTTGTAACGAACAGTCCACTGTAGGTGAGTTTAAGAACCCATGTGCAGTTTATTCAAAAAGTAATCCAAAATAAAAACATAATCCAAACAGAGACTTGACTTGACATGACTTGAACAGACTTGGCATGAACAGACTTGACGTGAACAGATTTGATTTGGCATGAACAGACTAGACTCACCGACAGCAGGTTACAACATCAATACACGACGAGAGACAATGGCAACATGATGGCTACTTATAGCAAACAATACAGGTCACATGACCAGAACCAACCAATGAGAGACAGGACACATGACTAAGACAACCAATGAGAACATGACACATGAACCAAGGAACCAATCAGAACATAACACACAGTCAAGGGAATCACATGACTAAATAGGGACCATGACTAAACTCCAAAATAAAAGACATGAAAACAAGAACATGAAACAAAACACAAAACAGACATTACAGCCGTACACAAAAGGTTGTGGATAAATACATAAATAAAGTAAATACTCTGTCTAAACCCTGATGAGTTGTTGCAGGCAATTTGCCCAGAGGTGCATTTGTATAGCATGATTAATATTAAAATGCCCCTACCGATGTTAAACCCAAACCCACACTCTTGCTCTCCTGGGAGCTGGTATTCAGAGGGAGACGGAATTCATCTTGCAACCCAAACCCCCTCAAACCCTCCCAGGCTGCAGAGTCAGAAGACACTAGCTCAACACACATCTGCAATGTGAAGCAGCAGCATGACCGTGCATACGCTGAGGTGCTTACGACCTGCCTGTCTGTGGGTGTGTGCGTATGTGCAAAAGGAAGGCAGCGACAGCTAGAAAGAAGGTGAAAAAATTTGCACAAGCCTCTCAAAAATGAGAAAGGTTGGAGCACTGTAGGGAGTTAATAAAGCATGATGCTTTTGTCACTGTGTGGGGTTTACAGGCTGTCAGCACACCGGCGCTCCAACACTCCTGTTGGGGAGGTACAGCAGTAAAGCAAACTGTTGTTTTTTTTTTTTTCAATCAGACACAAGTAAAGATGGGCCAATATGGATCAGAAAACATAAACACCATTTTTTTTTGCGTTTCTAGCTTAAAAATGTATTTATAAAACTCATAATTCTGATTCTAAATTTTGATTGGATTAACCAAATTTGAAACTATTGTAAAATTACATTATTTATATGTCCAATAGTTTGTGGTCGGTAACATTTTTTGGTAACACTTTATTTTGAGGGTCCCTTTTGAACATTCTATTGACAATAAGTAACATTGCACCTACATGTCAACTATCTCCCATTAGAGTATCAGTAGCCTGTCTGCTTAATATCTGCTACCTCTTTATTGTGATGGTCTCCCAACAGACATCCTACTGACTATAAGCAAAGACTACAGAAATACAAAGACGGTTCACTCCTATATCTATGAATGGGAGAAACTGCAACGCGCAATATGGTGAAATAGTCCCGCCTTCTAAATGAAAGAGCCAATTGCTGATTGGTAAAGTCATTGCGTCACTGCAGCGGCCATTAGAAGCTCCGGTTCCCATAGAAACCTGAGGCTAGAGCAGCGATGCGCATGCGTATTCATAAGCGCGATAAAACTGCATACGCATTGGCAGGTCTAGCTTGAAAAATAAGCTTTTTTTAATGCTATTTGAGCATAAGAAACAACATTCATCGGGCGGTTCATTTCAGATTTTGTTGCTGATTTGAAATATGTAATTTAATTGCGACTTCAGCGAGCAGTTTTTGAGATTTCAGGATTCCCCCATTTATTTAGATTTGTTTGAGCAGCCCGGAGGCGTTGCAAATATGGCCGCCGAATGAACAGACTTTCCTTGAAGTGGACTTTGCTATAAGTAACTTTGCAAGTACATGCCAACTTAATCTAACCCTAACCCTACCAGTCTACTAACACTCTAGTGAGGCTTAGTAGATATGTAGGTGCAACGTTACTTATAGTCAACAGAATGTGTTAATGGAAAAAAATAAATAAAATGAAACCCATTTTTTATATATTTTTAAAAGAAGTCTCTTATGATCACCAAGGCTGCATTTATTTGATCAAAAATAGAGTAATAACAGTAATATTGTGAAATACTATTACAATTTAATATAACTATTTTCTATTTTAATTTATTTAAAAAATTTTGTTTCTCTTTTGTAAGTTGCTTTGGATAAAAGCATCTGCTGAAGGCATAAATCACCACCTTGGAGTTATTAGGTTCTATCTGCATTCTGAGCGGTTTTGAGATGGTGAGCTTCAAAGTTTTTGCATTCCATATACTATGTAAACATCATATACTTTGTTTTGTTTTGTTTTTTTAATTAAAAAGTCCCAGAATGTACACAATTAAAAAAAAAAAAAAAAAAGTTGTCACAGAATAAGAATATGTGAATAACCCAATTTTAATAAAACATTTGAGATAGAACCTTATAATTCCAAGGTGACGAAAAGTAAATGTAAAATAATTTATTCCTGTGATGGCAAAGCTGAATTATTTAGGAGTGTCACATGATTGTATCATTCTAATATGCTGATTTGGTGCTGAAGACAGTTGTGCTGCTTAATATTTTTGCAAAAACCATGATAAATGATACAGGATTCTTTGATGAATAGAAAGTTCAATGAACAGCTTTTTTAAGAGTCACTGTAACTTTAGATTGGTTAATGCATCATTGCTGAATAAAAGTATTAATCTTAACTTTTGACTGATATATACACCAAAAATTATGCATAGTGGAATGTCATTTATCATAGTGCTGTGGCTGCAGTTTTATCGCTGTTGTCATTTCAACAGTGAAGAATCCAAAACCATATCAGGCAGCTTGAAAATGAAATAACAGAATGCAATATTCAAAAAGCTGTTCTCCATTCTCAGAGGCAACTGCCGAGAATGAGGAGAGAATTGTTTTGTTGGCCTCTGTTGCACGGCGTCATCATGCATGCAGCCAGCGAGAATAAACCTCTGCTCTCTCTGACAGATAGCAGCGCGAGCGTGTTGGCGCGCAGGCAAGGCTTCAGCCAGGCAGAACAGGAGCTGTACCAGCTGCCCGTGGTTGTGTGGGATGGAGGAGAGCCCGTCCTCAGCAGCACCAGCACGCTTACGCTCAGGGTGTGTCCATGCCAGCGCGGGGCCAGGATGCCAGTGTGCAGGGCTCAAGCATTCCTGTCCTCGGCCGGTCTCAGCACCGGAGCCCTCATTGCCATCCTGCTGTGCGTGCTCATCCTCTTGGGTAAGACTGAAAACACAACAGCCAAGAGAAGAACTTTAATCTTTCCTTCATGAATTTGCCATCAGGGAAAGAGCAGAAACATACGAAGGGGTCCAAAGTTCTGAATCCAGAAGTAAAATTATTCTTTTTCTTTTTCTTTCTTTCTTTCTTTCTTTCAATTTAAATTTGAGTGAGTCTTCAATACTTTTATTTTTTAAATATTTTTGTAGGATTTTTAGTAATAATTTTCTTTATTTTATTCTCACTTTCTTGACAGACAGACAGACAGACAGATAGATAGATAGATAGATAGATAGATAGATAGATAGATAGATAGATAGATAATGTAGACAGACAGGCAGACATTGTTGTGGATCATTTATTATAAAGATCTAAGGATTTGTGAGATGATGTATATCCAATATGTTCTATGCTGCTTTCTTTTACTTGACATCCTGAGAAACACTGCTTGAAATTCACTGGTTGTAGATGAGAAGTTTCACCCTGCAGAATGTGTGAAAACCCCTCTCTCACTCCGGTCCACTGACAAGGCCAAATACTGTATAGACACTACTCAGGAATGCTGCACAACTGTGTGGGCTGAAACCTGGAACAACAATTGTAACGTGCACATACCTGAACAGTAGATAGATAGATAGATAGATAGATAGATAATGTAGACAGACAGGCAGACATTGTTGTGGATCATTTATTATAAAGATCTAAGGATTTGTGAGATGATGTATATCCAATATGTTCTATGCTGCTTTCTTTTACTTGACATCCTGAGAAACACTGCTTGAAATTCACTGGTTGTAGATGAGAAGTTTCACCCTGCAGAATGTGTGAAAACCCCTCTCTCACTCCGGTCCACTGACAAGGCCAAATACTGTATAGACACTACTCAGGAATGCTGCACAACTGTGTGGGCTGAAACCTGGAACAACAATTGTAACGTGCACATACCTGAACAGACAGGAAGTGTTGTTAATAATGCATTTAAATATAAGCAGGGGCGTAAATTTCGTCTAACAGTTGGGGGGGGACAATAAACATAAAATTTCTCAAGAGCAATTTTTGAAGGGGACACAAATAATACAGCTAAAATTGTACTTGTAAGGATATGTATACACAGAGGAAAGCCTTACTATTAGTGCAGCAGGGAGACCGTGCCAAATTAGACAACTTCAAGCTGTTGTGGTTGTGCCGCGACGGCGGTCGTGACTCGTTTCCGTTGTAGACATTACTATCCGTCACAGTGTTGCCAAGTCTGCGGTTTTCCCGTGGAATTGGGCTACTTTATCACTGTTGCCACGTGTTGAAGCGACCCCAATAATGTGTATTTTAGCCTCTGGAACGTGATTTTTACCGGGGGACCCCCTCGAAACACGGATAGTTTGGGCTACTTTTGGGCTACTTTTGACTAGCAATTAGGCGGGTTTTGTTGTAAAAACCTGGCAACCCTTTCCGTCAAGCAGGTAACGTTATTATTTCTAACATAGCGGACTCATCGAGAAATACATTGCCATCATCTGTATTAAAGAGAAAATAATCACTTCATCCGATGTTTAAGTGAATAAAATAGCCTTGGCAGCCTTACTTACTGGAGTTCCACAACTATTGACTTTGTTCTCTCTCACCGGTAAACTTAAAACGCATTTTTGCCCTGTTTGTGTTGTTTTACTACTTACACAATTATGTAAAGTAAGTATAAAACTTATTTACAATGCACAGCGTGGTTTTTAATCATATTTTTAGGGGGGACAACCCTCAGATGGGGGGGGTCTTGAAACCCCCCACCCCCCAAGATTTCCGCCTATGAATATAAGGCAAAAAAGTATTTTTGCTTGCTAGGATTTAGAGGCTCTTCCCAATTTACAGCATAATATCCAAACACAATGCTGTGGCTCCATTCCAAAATCTAGTGAGGTGCCTATCTACCCTGCTGAAGAAAAAACATATTATTCAAGCCTGAGCTGGTTTGCAAGTCTCAGTTGGTCTCCCTGTATATATATACGGGGTGTTTTTATCATTTAACAACTGTCATTATGAAGACTGTTTCCAGAAGTAGACAACAACATAGTTACCTTTTTAGGTAACAATTTAAGGTGGCATGTATCCCTGTTATATCCATCTAAGGAGATAGCATGATGAACATGATGAACATGATGAACCACTCAATAATGTATAGTCAATAATGTTAGTAATACAGTTATATTTCATCTAATATGTGTAGACTATTTTACCTAATGTTTATGTATTTATGCTATTTAATTCTAAATGTATTAAAATCTTTTGTTAGCAACATGCTATAATATATGTAGAGTTGAGTCTCCCTTGTCCTTCACATGAGGTGAACTACTTGTGGCAAATTGATTTAAGCATTCCGAGTAAGATACTATTATATTGTTTATAAATATTTTTACATTTTAAATTGGATGTATATTTTTTTGTTTTAGTGTTGTTGTTTTGTCATTTTTATCATTTTTAATGTATAGTTTTTATTCATTTTTCAGTTTTAGTTGTAGTTGTTTTAGTTCATCTAAATGGCAACTAACAACCAGCTGAAATAAAATGAATTCAATTTTTTATATTTTATTTCATTTCATTTCACATTTATTTGTTTTTGTGGTTTTAGTTTTCTATAATAACCCTGCTTATGGGGGTCCATTTAGTGCTACCCAGTGTTATTTTAGTATCACTGATATACTATCATAGCTTTTGTTATTTTATTTTTATATATATAGTTTTGTTATAAATTAGTATTTATTCATTTTAGTTTATTTCATTTGAGTTATTTTAGTACTTAAAGTTAAACTAAACAAAAATGAGAAATGTTGCTTCGGCTAATAGCTGAAATAAATGCATATTTAATTTTATTTCTGTTAATGTTTATTTTGTTAAAACAAAAATGAGAAATGTTGCTTCGGCTAATAGCTGAAATAAAATACATATTTAATTTTATTTCTGTTAATGTTTATTTTGTTTCAAATAATGATTTATTATTATTATTATTATTATTATTATTATTATTATTATGTTTTAGTTAATGATTGCTGTTGCTGCCTTAAAAGGTAGCTGTTTGGAACAGGGCTAATCTGTTTGAATGAAGAGGCTCATGGCTATTTATGGCAAAACGCCATTGATTTCACATCAGCACATGAGTGATTAAGTGATTATTTGCCCAGACAAAGCTTTTCCCCATATGAAAATGTCAGCAAGCAGATGATTGCACTCCTCATTTTATACGCCCAAGCGATACGTCGCTAACTCCCGATGGTAGTGAAGCTAATTCACATCACCATTTACATGGATGAACAAACTAAGCTTGTGTCTCCTCTCTTGTAGCCATCGTGGTTCTGTTTGTCACTCTGCGTAGCAAGAAAAGCAAAAAGGAGCCTCTGATCATCTCGGCGGAGGATATCAGAGAGAACGTAGTCACGTACGATGACGAGGGAGGAGGCGAGGAAGACACAGAGGCCTTTGACATAGCGGCGTTGAGGAACCCCGCAGCAGCCGAGGAGATGAGGATGAGGAAGGACCTGCAGTCAGAGGTGTGGAGAGCAATGGGGACCGAGACTCTCAGCCCGGCTTTGACCTTACCAGACGAGGACATCCATGAGGTGATTAAGCTCAAGGTTGTTGAGGCAGACCGGGACACAAGCGGCCCTCCGTACGATTCTCTTCAGACTTACGCTTACGAGGGCTGCGGCTCCCCGTCCGGCTCCATCAGCTCACTGGACCTGCCGGAGCCCCAGACGGAGCTGGACCTCAGTGAGGTAGACAAATGGGGCCCTGAGGTACAAGTACTGAGCAGAGTCTTTGAAGAGAAAGGCCAGCAGCACGTCCAATAATGGCTGCGCATGTTCTGTAAACCAGAAGTTGTGTGTCGTTTCCCTGATGTCTGGTCAAATGGGACTGCAGTGAAGACTGAAGTTTTTTTTTTTTTTTTTGTCATCCAGTTTTGCTGTGGGATTATTTGACTTGTTTTTCACTGGCCTCTACAAGTGGAAGTTGATTTTTGAAGAAAAAGTGTAAAATTGAGAAAAAATTGAGAACTCATAAAGGAAGCTATTTTCCCTGGTGTATATTTTCTATTGCTTAATAAAATTCATGATTCCAGATAAGTAAAGCGTGCCTCTATTGCATCTTCATCCATTTCCAGCAGCTACAAAAGTGTCCGATTCAATGTCCCGGCTGGTTTAGGATGACATCTTTCATACTAAACTGATCATTTCCCTACTCAAAACTTGATTTCTGTTTTCACAGCCTGTAGTGTTTAAGTTTCACCTAATATTTATACCAGATCGACAATGAACACAGAGTGTGCAACATTTAGTATAAATCACCTCTGTGAAAAGCAAGAAAATAACTTATTATAATTATCATGAGCAGAGAGAGTTTAAATTGGATAACAACAGCATTCTGTGAAAGATAATTGGATTCAAATGCTTGAGTGGGCACCTTTTATTACTTTCCTAGGACTTATAAATCAACTGTGAAAAGTCTGTGTTGCAATCCAGTCCTGATCAATTCCCACGAGCCTCACAACATGCAGATAAAGAGCCCACGGACTGCTTTAATAGCCACCGTAATGATGATGATGACTTCAGAGCGTCAACACGATGGTGGCTTTTACTGATCTAAATGCGCTCGGCTGTCACAAGTAGTGTTGGATTGTTTAGAAGGATGACTTTTTGAATACTGAGGGAGCTTCAAAAGTGGGATTGTTTCCTCTGACAACAGCATTAGCTAATTGGTAAGCCTAGTCTGGAAACATACCTACTGACAGATACATCAATGATTTTAAAGAGACAGTTTGTTAAAATGATGACAGGACAGGAGGAAATCCGTGTTTTTGACAGGCTATGCATCAGTTGGCTAATCACACAAACTGTCTCGCTTCCTCAATTTTCTCACAATGGGTTAAATGTACTTACATTATTGGAGGAAACTTGTTTCTCCCAAATTAATTCTCTGCAAACTCAAGCCATCAAGTTCACCTATGGTGTTCTAATAGTCTTAAATACTGATCTTAACCATTTAAGTGAACACTACAGCAACTTGTATGATAGACTTGTGTGTTTTTGCGAAATTCGCTATCATAAATATATCACTGTCATTATCACAGTTGATATCTGTACACATGCATTTGTTTCCTCCATAAAGCAATTCGCCCTTTGCACAGACATTTTTACCCATTCTCCAACCTTACATACTCCCAGAACAGACATTTCGAGCCTTATTAGAAGTCAGTGTATCATCAGAATGATTTAAAAGCTGATATTTCAAGCTTAAATACATAAATAAGTAAATGAATAAAACTTGCATACAGTTGATTTAACTCCGATTTGTGATTAAAAAGATCATTAAGTACAGCTGAAATGAGAATTTTTATGCATTTAGAATTTTATATTTAGATATTTATGTGATAAACGGAAATATAAGTAATATATGTCAAAATATGTTTAATAATAAAATATACTGTATATATTTTAATAATGTATGTGTATGGGAAGAAATCAACAGGACCCAAGTTCACCAGAGGAAAACTTATCATCCTAACAGCGAATTCTCTCAAAACTCGATTCTCAATGAAACAACATCAGCATAATTAAAATACTACTACATGTCCACATAATCTGCTTTGCTTTGACCAATGATGCATAATTAAATTATTCAAGCACAAGTGCTCATGGGTATTCCCCTTGGCTCAGTTTTATACTTGTTTGTTTTGAGTTATTAGGATTTAAATTCTTAATTTTATGGACTTTGAAGCCAAAGAAGTTTCAGAAACACACATATTTGTAGTTTTGTTGCAAAATGTGCCATTTCAAAACAGTTCCGTTAGAACCACCTACCTGTTTACAGCATAGAGTATACATTTGAATTGACTACATTCGATTGTCTTTGAACATTGTAATTGGTCTTTAAAAGTCAGACAATTACTCAATGTTTAGCTCAAACTTATTGCAAGAATGATGCTAGTGCCTGTATCTTTAATATTACATGACCATGTGATGATTGGTCTTCTGACCATGTGTATTGTAAGCTTTACAATCTGGCCATGAAAAGAAAACCTCACGCTGGTACAGCCAGCAAAGAGTCACGATATTTAAGAATCGGACATTTAATTGGCCAACATAATTGTAATGATAATAACTGCATAATGGCACTTATTTTTGCCTGATACCTCAGGCCAATATGCCTCAGGCTTCATTCTTGACTGATCTGGCTGTTTATAAATCAACAGTCAAACTTATTTATAATTGTTAAATTGTTTTTATTTTTTATATATATATATATTTTTTTTTTTTTTCTTTTTTTATGTCCACCATCCACCAAAGCACACACAATAAAAAGAACTCACGCACATCACACCCAATGCACGAGTGCATTTTTCTTCCTGTTTCATCCTTCAGTGTTGATTGATAATTTGTTGTTTTTGTTTGCACTGAAAAAGTGGCTATTTTGTTGTTAATGACGATGATGGCAGTGGCGGTGATGATCTAGAGTGTTGATTAGCCTCATCACAGAAATGGACTTTTCCTACACAATCTGGCAGCTCATCAACGCTCTGACCCTGATTATTGTGAGCCGAATACATCATTATCATGTGACCAAAAGCAGATAAAACATTTTAAGACAATCTAATGTGGGGTGAAATGGTTCTGGATTTTTAGTAACTGACCTGTTCAATTTAGGTGATTGACGCTGGATGAAGGACACATAGATTGCCATGTCACTTCTGATTTTTCTTTTGAATTCAATGCAAATTTGCAAAGTGTAGCAATTCCCCACATTGTTCAAAGCATGAAAGGTAATAATTCAGGTATTGTATGAGACTGGTCTACTCAAAATGTATAATAATATCAAAAAAATAATAACATTCAAGATTTGTACTACACTTTTGAGGACTTTGTGGGTATTGCATGTGACTTGGACTCAATCTGTTGACTCCTTTCTTCACAGACTAGCTTTGACCTGTTTGTCCCATGGGTGCAGCGAGCAACAGTTTGGTAAGAAAGAATCAAATGTATGTGAGGAAACAATCCCAGAGGTCCTTGTAATGAAACTTAAATCAGTGACAATACATCAAGTAACTCTGGTTGGCATCAACAATTAATTGCTTTTAGCAAAAGTTGTTATGACTGTAGTCAATTTGAATGTTTTAGAACATTTCATTTTAAGAAATTCATTGCATTTATTTAAAACCTTTGCATGTTATGAAGTCAAAAATGCACAATTTATATTTTCTATCTATCTATCTATCTATCTATCTATCTTGCATTCAAAAAAAAGGGCCACATATGGAAGCAAAATGGTGGCAAATCACACTGAATTTAACAAATGAATCACTAATTACTTCAGCTGCAGTGTTTTTCATTCGAGCTAATTGAGTAACACATTATTGTTTATTAATAAGATCTGACAACTTTAAAAACTCGTCTTCAACTTTGTATCAAAGAATTGATTCTAACTTGCGTTTTAACAATGATACTCTTAGTTTGATCATTAAGCTGTCACATGGACTGAGTCTTTACAATGCAGAACACAAGAAGTATTCGGGGTTTTTTTTATTTCCCTTTTAATGTAGAATTATTTGTCCACTCAGTTTTTACAGAATACAAGTTACTAAATAGGAAAATACAACACATTCATCTATGAAAGGTATTGTTGATGTGATCCTTTTAAAACTTTTTCCTATACCCTGCACACAGCAGTAAATTGTCATCATTTTTGTAGCCTGATTTTACTCTTCTGCTTTTATCTGATTAAATGAGAGCAGTGTTATTCCATTCTGGCAGTGTGAATAGTTTTGTGATACTCTCACTGCTCACAATGTATTCTCACATCAACGAAGGTGTAATTTATGTCCCCTTTTTTTTTCAACTTTTTATTCCTTGAATAAAGAAACTAAAATGGCACTGTGAAAAGACAGACACTTTAACAGGCCTGACCTCTATTAGTATAGTTTTCAGTTCATTTTCATATTCATGTCTCAGGAAAAAAAAAAGCCATAGTCAACAGATTTTGTTGACAGATTTCTCCTTTAATATCCCTCAGCTTTGTCCTTTTGCCTGCACTGTTCTAATTATACAGTCCAATTAGTGTTAGAGGAGCTCATCAATGCTGCGGCTGAGACGAGTGGCCCAGTTCTGCTCTGCAGTCATGCACTTAATGTTTGGACCTATCAGACGAGTTCATATCTGAACTATGAGTCACTGTAATATAAAGAACTGCAAAAGATATAGAAAAACATGATGGCTCTAATTGTTAATAAAATGCCTTTATATTAATTCTGTATGATAGAATTGAAGTTAGGTTTGCTTATTTGCGCTAATGAGTTTTACTGTTTCATGCTAGCCCACTTTAACAGATCCCTGTTGGGATAATGCTCAGTGAACTTATTATGCAAATATTTTGGAAAATAAGACACCCCAACAGATCCACCAAACATTTATTCCTGTACAGTCTTGCTCTCAAAGCAATTAAAACATCTCGACGGTTAGAATAATTTGAGATTAAGTTGGCAAATTCTCTATAAGGGTATAATAAAACATTGGAACAATCAGTCATGATTTTTGTGTGATTGATTACTTTCTTGTAGTTTTTTATTGTTCTGGTTTTCATTCAGATGTCTGATGAGCCTATCCAACAGCTAATAACTTACGTTCAGTTTGCTGCTGCAAATTATAATTGTTTTCTGTGTGTATGACATTTTACTGCAAATATGTTTGGTAACAGTTTATTTTGATAGTCCACTTTAGACATTCTACTAACAGGAAGTAAATTTGCAACTCCATGTCAACTAGCAGTCATTAGAGTATTAGTAGACTGTCTGCTTAATATCTTCTAACACTTTATTTTGATGGGTCCACAACATACAACATACTGACTATGAGAAACTTTGCAAGAATGTCAACTTATTCTACTAACCTAACAGTCTACTCTGAGAGTTAGTAGACATG